TGATGGTGTACAGAACAAAGACGACACCGGCACAAACCTATAGTTCCATCGCTTATCTATTCACATTTGATAGATCGGTAAATATGGCGGACGAACAGAAGTGAGGCACGGAAACCAACAGTTCCAAGCATGAGGAAGAAGCCGTAGCAAATGCAAGCCATATAGCCGAAGAAAAATGATGTTTGCATGAAACCAGTCATATCAGAGCGCGCATAGTAGTAATATAAGCAATAGCCATAGATAAATAGACCAGTGGAACCACCACACAGGAAGGCTCTGTCATAAAAAGAACAACCGAGGTTAGAATCATGACCACATCATAGTAGAGGGAGATTTAGTGCGATCTTTCCCCTCCCAACAGTTTACAGGGGATCACAAAGTGGAGACATGACATCCAAGACATTAGACAAAAATGAGAACAAGCAGTACACAGGACATTTAAGTAGATGAGTATTCCACAAAGGATGTAAAAGTCCTACAAGATTATGTTTTGGCATGCTAATGTCAGATATTGACCATTCTTTTACAGTCATAAATTAAGGGTAGAAATCACATCTACATATTGGCCAGCCAAAATGGGTCATGGACTAGAACCCGCAGGAAAGTCTAGCATGCATGAACACTGCATCTCCAGCAAAGTTTCCTAATCCACCTTCCACACCCAAAAGGGCAATTACTATGCACAATGGTGCAAACTCATCCCCTTCACCCCCTTAGGCCCCTTGCCAAAAACAAAAAAGCAATGATAACATGATTATTGTGTACTCCTCACACTCCTGTACATCCTCAAAGTAAGTCCACAAAGAATACATGGCCTGAACATGTGATTAGCAAGTGGGCAATGAAAATAATGATACAAACTCAACTATCTGGGAAAGTTCTCCAACTTTATAGTATGTGAGTCAAAAAGCATCAACATCATAGTCTGTTAAAGTCCACAATCCATTTTCATACCATTGAAATAAGTATTTTCCAAAATAGAAGCTAATAACATCACAAGGATCTCACAAAGTGGAAAAAGACACGCACAAGCAATCACAGAAAGCAAGAAAAAAAAACACCTTCTCCATCATAAAATGAATGATATGAAATGAAACTACCACCAAAATCAAAGCTATCAAAGCCACTAATGGGAAAAGGCATGAAAACTTAAATCAAGCATATATAAAGCCAGAAATTATATAAATAGTGCATACCTCCACCACCACTCATGATCTTCAGCTGCGAGTTGGAAGTATGTCAATGCCACAGTGATGAAAGCGGTAACTATAATCAATATAATGAAGACGATGAACAAGATGCTGTATATAGTGTAAATCCGGTGACCCCAGACACTGGCAAATATGTAGTAGAGCTCTATGTAAATTGCACTGAAAGGCAAAAATCCAGCCATTGCCATCTGAGGAAGAGTTCCCCGGTACCATGGTAGTGGTGGAATTTCTCTAGGGTACTTTGTAGTACGGCAAGGAGCTTGGAACTCGGCTTTGCTATTCTTTCCAGCAATTCCACCCAAAACAAGCAATGGTGATGTCACAAGTGTCCAGATAAGAAGAATCACCACAATGGTCCCAAAAGGAAGAGCTGCAGTAGCATGATATGCAATTGCTACCGTGTTTAGGAAACAGAAGGTCAGAAACAGAGGCCCACAAAATAGGCAGCCCGTCAACAACAGGTTCCTTACCTGCAAGAAGAGGATTTTACAAAAAGATCACACACGAGTTGTTTCTTTTAAATTTTATCTGGTATCTTTTATTGAAATAATTTGCTCTTTCCAAAGATAAGATCATACCCAGTTTGTTCCTTCCAATTGACAATAAAAGGAGGTTGCAGTGTAGCCAGCAATTCCAGATGTGAGAGCGTAAATGACAACAAGGGCTGTGAACAGGGCTCCTCGGTTATATGGGTAAAACACTCCAACTAAAGCAAGTAGAAATATGAAAAATGTACTGAAAAAAAAAAGTAATGTAAATGTTAGATCACGTAGGATGAAGTAAATACATAGGATGGCATTAGAAAACATGTTGATGCACATATGTGGAAGAAAACTACAGTAGAAACTTACAGGGTAAACAGCTGGGTGCCAGATCCAAGAGAAGCTGCAAGTAACGATTGGTACTTTGGAAACCTAAATACATCCCCATGGATATACTTCCATCCAGTTTCTTCCTGATCTTCTGCTGTTTCCTCATCGTGCGCATACCTTTAGGCAAAAACAATGAAGCATGAATTTTAAAAATTGCATGATCACTTAATAGCATGCCCAGATATAAACAAATATCCAGACCAACTCTCCACTAATCAACCAGGAACTCCAGCGCAGTTAATAGATACAGTATATATGACTGAAAGAAGGGAAAGGGAGGAAAGCTTTTCGATTCTTACTTGACAAAATCGTTCTTAAGAACTCGCATAAGAATTGTGGCAAGAAATCCGGTCAGGAGGAGTACAGTGACACATGAGTTAATAATGGAAAACCAGTGGATCTCTAGATGATGAGGAAGAGAAGAAGATTGTGAATATTTATCCATCCTCTTCTCAAAAGGGGTGTTTGTCTCCTTCCACTTTACGGTGTACATAAATTCCACATCGACATCTTTATCCTCAGTAATGTCAACTAAAGAGTTGGGATCAGTTCGAACATTGATTTCAATAACACGGTCCTTGTTGTAAAAGATGTCAAAATGAATATGCTTATACAAATAATACTTGTACTCGCTTGGGTCTAGTTTGCCTTCCTTGTCAGCTTTACCAAGGAACCCCCATATTGGCAAATCGTCATAATACATTTGGAAGTAGTAATCTTTTGATACTGCATCTCTAAACTTAGTTACTTCTTCCTTTGTCATTTTTTTCTTGCAAATAAGTTCTGAATCTTTGTCCACTAGAAAGTCAAGCTTATAAGGAGCACTGACCAGACGATCTCCATTCAATACTTCACCTAGAGCTTCCTTCTTTTCTTTCACATGATCTGCAGTTAAAAATAATTGTTACTTTTGTCCAAAAGAAGAATTACACGTGCAAAGTAGTAAAACCGATTCAACTAATGCGTACCTGGAACACAGAATGGAAGATCGAAATAGCGGTATGTTTCACTGAAAAGAAAAACCCATAACTATTAGACTCTGTCAGCAAGGTAATGAACATAATCAATTCTAAACATTTACATTCAAGGATTTTCATATGAAAAGTTACAGGACAATCGTAAACTTAGCTACTGTATGGAACTTGATGGTGAGGTTGCAAATAACAGTTTAGTGATGGCCGTTTGATGTTCATCCACACTTGGATGCATGTCACTAAATTACTATATTGGGGCAAGAGGACATGGTTAGCATGCATGCAACTTTCACTAGCTTAACTCTAAAATAGAACCCAAATATGAACCTCTGTAGCTATAATCCTAAATACAGAGCTCAAATCAGCAACACTTTCCCGATTGTTAAGATTCCTCGACGTCGACGGAATAACCCCAGAAATCTACATCCCCCACTAGCCTGCTACTCCCTCAATTTACAAGTTATGTAACAACACTTCAATGCCTATTACTTCTAGGTTACTAGTAGCATCATCATTCCAATTATAGCAATATAAAGACCTGCTATACCAAAATAGAAATCACAACTTTTATTTTTTCTGAAATAAGGGCAACAATCACGACAAAAGAGAACCTTTAGTTGAAAAAAAAAATTTAAGATCTCAACTTCTCTACATTACAGTTTCCAGTCAAACAATGATCAAAAATCATCCAAACACACTAATATAGCACAAAAATCAACAAATAACTCATCATTTACTCCAGATTTCAATCAAAACTCAAGAATGCATAAATCTCTAGCAAATACAATACATTATCAACATTTTTTTTATAATGTATAATGTGAGATCTATAATCAAATCAAAATTCGCATAAAACTCAGTAAAAATGGCCGATCAAAGAGAAGAAATGCGAAACCTAGGGTTATGGAAAGGGCCGACTTTATTGGCGTAAAGAGGAACAGCTTCACCAGCTTTGTAACGATGATCAGAAGCATCAGATCTCACACGACTAACACCAGAAATCAACACCACTGCAAAAACGGCCACCATTAAAGTGGCCATCGATTTCACCATTTTCTTCAAAATCTATCAATTTCTCCCTCCAAATCACAGAAAAAATACGGAATTGAAGAAGAGAAATCGAGAGAAAATAGATCGAATCTCGAGATGAAGATTGAGAAATAAGGGTTTTAGATTTGATTTGTAAGAAAAGGGAGTAACGTAAGAGATAAAATTGGGGGAGAAATTAAAAAAAAGAAAGAAAGTGATAGAATGCCGAAATTAAGTAGAGAGAATTATAGTGTGGGGTTTTAGTGTGTAAGCTCTTTCCCACCGACGCTTCTTTCTCTCTCCTATTTCAAGTGTGGTGGGAGTGAGAAATGGGAGATCCAAGATTTGGAAACGTGACTTTTCCGTGACATCAATTGTCAACGAGTTATGGTATCAATCCCGTTATCAGATCTCTGACTAATATGGAGTTGGAATCAAGTCGGGTCAAAAAAAATCATACGGTAAGAATCTAATAAATGTTTAAATATACTTGTACCATTGTTTAATACACTTTGACATATATGAATATGACTTATCAAAGAAAGGGCGGATATAATCTAATAGCCCAAAACCTAATACATACATATGTTTTTAATACAAGTATTATTTATTATTCTTATTGTTATGGAATAAACCGAATACATAACTACATACATATGTTACCTACACGTGCTTAATTGCTTATAATTTTATAAAAGCTATTTGCTCTATTCTCACTCTTTTGACATTTTACAATATGTAGTATATGGAGTATGCAACATGCTAGGTCAACTTCCATGCCCTTTTTACATCTCTAACTTTGAAAAAAGAAAAGAATCATAATCTCTATTAAGTCCAACAAAAGAAATGCATACTTTTCCCTCAAGCAACCAAAATAAATAAAAGAAAAGGAATATAAATTAGACTTCAACATGAAACTTTTGAAAAAAGGTTTATTATAAAAGAAAGACAACATTTAGTAGTATGAACACTTTGGCGGGAAAGGCAAACTGTACCTACATGATGCCTTCGCATTTGTTCTGCTGCCATGCAATCATGCAGAAAAAAAAAACTATTGAAAAATTCGACAAAAAAAATAGACATTTTACATTTGCTACAATCTATTTGATGAAATTAAAAATTTTCATCCTCGATCACAATGTATTCTACCATCAATGGTGCAAGTCTTTGTAATTTATAAAAGCTTTCGAAACTTGGGGAGGCCGGGGAGTGTCTATCATGTAGCACCATCTTAGAGACTTAGATATTCTGACTCAACCAATTAAGACCTTGATAAAGTCCGCGGCCAGATATTGCAGAAGCATCCTGGATAAACCTACAACAAACACGAGATCTATAACTATGCTGCTCTTAGTAACTTTCAAATATGTGAAACAATCATTTTGGTTGATCTAGAATGACAGTTTACCATCTGTGATCACGAAGTAGATGTAACCCAAGCTTGTGAGCAACCTCTGAGACTGACATAGCATTTGGAAGGTCTTGCTTGTTGGCGAAAACTAATACCGCTGTATTAGACAGTTCATCCTGCTACAAAGATATACTTTCTATCAGCAAGTTGCGCCTATGATGATAATAAAAAGTTTAACAACTATCAAAAGCCTGAAAGGAATGACATGTCAAACACCAAGAAATTTAAGTGTAACTATTTTCTAACCTCGGTGAGAATCCGGTGAAGCTGATTACGAGCTTCTACAATTCTTTCTCTGTCAGTGCTGTCCACTACAAAAATGAGTCCCTGGGTGTTCCGAAAATAATGTTTCCATAATGACCGAATCTGGGGGACAGATAAGAAGTTAGTTGTGTTCCCTCATTGTGCAACAGTTTAATACTAAGAATTTAAAAATGCACTTCTTGCCCATTTGTATAATCACAGCAAAAGAGAGTAAGAAAAGGTCAACAGCATCAGAAGCACAATAGTGGGGATTGGGGGAGAATAATCGCCACTAGATGAAACAAATTGAAGGTTGTCTGGTACAGGCCAAATAGAGGGAAGTTGGTATGAAAAAGTAGTACGATGAAGAATGTTAAGACAAAAGACAGGATCTGTCAATTACCCTTTTTATTTATCTCTAATCTTTTTCAAGAAGGGTGGGGAAGGGAAGAGTAGAGAGCAAGAATAATATGCAGATACCTTCTCTTGTCCACCAAGATCCCACACAGCAAAGCTTAGGTTATTGTATTCGACTGTCTCCACATTGAAACCTGATCCAAATTGGGAAATGCACAGTTAAAATCAAAGCAGTTGCTGAATTAGAATTTCTACCGTCTACTACCTTAACATCATGCAAAAGAAACAGCACATGGAATGATTATACCATACCCGCTAATATTTTCATACTACCTATTCATAGTTTATCATAAATTATAAAGAGTAAACAGATATTTCTCCCTTCCCTGTCTCCCAAGAGAGAGAGAGGAAAAAAAAACCACTAAAGGAAAATGAGCTGAGCATGGATGCATGCTGACATAAACTAGATTTGTAGACTGGTTAATACCTATAGTGGGGAGTGTCCGTACAACTTGTCCGAGCTTGAGCTTGTAAAGGATTGTTGTCTTCCCTGAAGCATCAAGGCCAACCATCAGTATCTTCATCTGATGTTTAGAGCCCCTCCTTTTCATAAGACGGGATGTGCCTACGCCCATGGAACAATTAAAAAATTTGACAAGGTGGAGAATTCAAAATATCCAAAACAAACAAAGGGACAAAAGTGCGATGATCACATCTTCCCCATCTGCAAATTATATATACTGGAAGAAAGGCAATAGAATTGGATTCTCATAAAGGAATAAATATAAAATATTGAAAAGATCTACTGTCTTGAAACTAATTATTAGTTTGAAAAAAAAAAAAAAAAACATTTTTATTCACATGGTCAATTAAAATATTTTATTGCAAAGAAAGAGAGTATTTAATTCCCAGCTTAAACAATCAGATGTTACCTGGAAATTCAGCAGCAAAGCTATGACCTATTGATCTTCAACATATCAAAGTGTGTACACCATTCTCAGTAGTCAGTAATAAAAAATAAAATAAAAAAAATAAAAAATAAAAAATTAAAAATTAAAAAGTATAGCAATAACTTAAGCTTTATTCTCTTGAGGAGCAAACAGTTGGAAGAATCATTTTCCACATGCTTCAGAATATATATTTTTCTCCACTGTTCTACAGAAGTGTAAAGGTCATGAGAACAGGTATCGATATGAAAATTTCACCATGCATTGAATTATTATACTCAACATCATACCCAAAAGTATATAAGATTCAACAAAATCTTGGAAGAAGATATGTTTGCATTCAAATTGCACTTTTACAAAAGGTTAGTTCTTCTGCTTGAACTGTAGTCAAAGCATCCGTACTTGAGCTTTAAAAACTAAGACAGAATAACAAACTTTACAAAGAGCAAAGATAGCAGCTTGCATTCAATTCTTTGAGGCAGACTGGAATATGAAGACAGCAGTCAGAACACCGACCAGTCCTGTTACTGCAAGAGCCACAGTTGGCAATGGGGATGTGAGCCCAAAGTTCTGCAGTTCGGGTTAAATCATCAGAATTAGAAATTGGCATTAACTTTTTACATGAATGAAATAACTTGTCCACAACAATGAATCACACAAATTCAGTTGCTAGAAGCTGGAAAATATGAGGAAAAATAAAACCTTAATTCTACAGAAAAAAAATGGACTATATATCACCTTAGAAAATTGGGATACACACCTGATTGAAAACAGTTTCAGTGATTTTCAAATTTTGTTAGAGTATATGAGAGGTACATGTCAAGAAAGCAACTTAACGAAGACATTTTTATTATAACAGCACCAATAACATATTTTTTTCCTCAAAACCCTTTGTCAATACTACACCAATATCAGAGTTATACACTTAGTCACTTACACTAAAAAGTTAAAAGTACTAGCCAATATTCACGAGTTGTACTTATTTATATAAATCTAGCGTCAATCCGGTTGTATTTTAATTATAAAACTAGAAACTTTAAATGGTTCAACTCCTTGTAGCCAGATTTGAGTCCTCATAGATATGTTTGTGTTTTTTGCATGGATGAAAGGGAAATTTGTTCTTGTTTGCATGGATGAATAAAAGCGAAAAATAGTATAAGGGTAGTTGTCACTACATAAGCCACATAATATAATCTCTTATTACCACCGTCACAGAATAGTCATTATTTTTACGTTACTTAGAGAAGGGGCCTAAGAAACTGATGAGTTTGTGGGTTACAGTGATTTATACTTTTCCTGTAATATGTTTAAATTTTCAATTAAGCCCCAAACAAATGTACATTTTCCTTTCCAAAAACATTATTACAAGGCTCATATCCATCCATCATTCAAGGTAATACATAACTTAATATTAGATCCCTTCCAAAAAGATGAATATGGAACAGCACAGGTCTCAGAGCTAATCTTGACTGACGGGAAATTCTTTCAGTTTTCGTGTTCAAGAAGTTTACAAGTAGAAATACACACTCTATTGGGATATCTACAGTCTCTTAGCCCGTTGAACTTAGGGATAGTGCCATGTGGTGCGAAAAATCTCAAGTAAAGTAAACAGACATACATTCCTCCAACCATCAGAATTGCGTACAAAGGTTGGTGCACAAGAGAATCAAAGCACCAATTTTATGGTAGGAAGAGTGACACTGGTAAAGTATGACAGATTGACAGCCAATAGGAAAGCTACCAATTGTTAGCCATTCAAATGATGAGAAAGGGTTATCGCATAATATGCATAAAAAGTAAAGGGTTTGGAGAAAAGGGAAATTATGAGATGCCAATGGAATATATATGTAATAATGATCAGAACTCCATACCTCAAGAAGACCCTTGCCAGTTGATACTTCAACAGTAATTGCAACAGCAAAGCCAATCATTGCAATCCTTCCTAACCAAACATCCAAGCCACCCTCATTTGCACTTTGCTGACACTTAATAGAAACTGAATTTGATTTGTGTACAGCCTTCAATTGAGCAGCGCTTGTCCGTATCACTGGCAAGACAATTACAAGATAAGTTGCTAGCTAGAGATAGGTTGATTCAATTTTCAATACCTAACATTTTTTTAGGTGCCAAACCCCCATGATGGCACTACACCAAGCCACCACCCACCCAACATAAGAAGTAAGTAACTCAATGCAAAGTAGTAATTAAGCTAGTGATTTTTTTCTCGATGGAGCCCAGGTGTGGGGGTGGACACCAGAGAAGAGATTCAAATAAACAACAGTTTCCATGATCAGGAGCAAGAACTTTTGGATCATGAGTCTAAATGCTAGGGTCAGCCAACATCCATGATCCAAATTTAAAATTATGAAGATGGAAGCTTTTTACAAGCTTAGTACACAGATCATGTTTTAATAGCAATATCTGACCCTACTTCAAAGCTAGCCAATACATCAATCACTAGCAGCAACTTAGTGACCGATGTTAACATTATCTTGGGAATGGAATAAAGTAAGACCATTTAAAGTTCAAAGCACATTCACCATATCTTCATTAACTGAATTAATTTTACACCATCTGCTCTCACTTTCCTCGTCCCTAATAACCAATACACCTCCAATTAATTATTGTCGCATTAAACCAATCGATCATAATCATCATTATGCCAAGATACCTTTTAATATAATTGTAACTCTCCCATCCTCCATTCCCATTCCCACTCCTTATTTATTAAGTCACTAGTCACAATCTCCTATCTTTTTAGTTTTTAAAGAAATACAAAAACATTTTCATACATCCTGAAACTCCCATTCTTCTAGAGTCATAGTGGTGATCAACAGCAGTCAATCTAACAAAAGATCACATAATAGATTCAAAGGCCAAATTTTCGCCGCTAAGGCTTAATTGCTTTCACAACAGCTAATTACAATATACTAACCACCATAAACAATATACTAAGAGTCTGTTTATGATCGCGATTATTGCCATAATCAAACATAGCAATTCAACCACATTGTAACTGGAACATTGAGTTCAAAACCCAAGCATCAATCAACCTATGAACTACCTCCTGAACACCATCAATGCATCCAAAAAATTCCACCAATCACCCCACTAAATCAAATGACCTTAACATCAAAACACAAAACATTAAACCCTCGAATCGATTTCAAGCCGAACCTTACCACAAACATTAAGAACAACATACACTTATGAAAATTCATAGAGGCATTACCAAGTGGAGAACCCCTCACAAAAGATGTAGCATTTCGAGCAAAATTTGAAGTGGGTATCCTTGAAACTGTACAAAGTCTTGGAGAATTTGGAGTACAAGCATCTATAGTAAGAATTGAAACAGAGAAATTGTGAGAAATTTCAAACATTTCTAACAACCCAGGAAAAATAAAATAAAGAGAAGATATTACCATAGACAGAGAGATTAAAAGAAGCAGAAACTTGAGAAACAGCCATGTTCTTCAACAAATTGAGTGGCTAAATTCTACCTCACCCTTGTTTTTTCTTCTTTGATTATCTTATCTTATTCAGAAATTAAGTTCAGCAAGTAGAAATTGGATGTAGGAGAAGAGGGGAAATGTTTTTCGTTGGAGGAGAAGATGTACACGTGTTTTAGGGGTTAGAGAGTAGAGACCAGGCATTCCAACTTCCACCAGCTTGTATTCTTGTAAGTTGCCACTCTTATCCATAAACAAAATCAAGTGCCATTACAAAAAAGTTAAGCATAAGCTTGGATTCTAACCTTTTAGATTTAATCCGCATTATCTTGTAAGATACTCGAATTCTTGACTTAATTTTTTTTGTTTTTTCACCCTAATATACCTCGTCTCACTTTACATTCGGTTTAACCATATGCAATCAGTTTTTCAATGTTAAAATAGGAATAAGTAAGACCTAAAATTAACTTCAACGGAAAAAATGAGTCAAACCGTGTTGGCTCGACTCTGTAATTACTCTTTTTGGGGAGAGGGGGGGTGGGGGGAGTCACTTCATAAGCATGATTAGCTCACTATAAAAGTGATAAGATCTTGTATACAAAAATTTAATACTCTAATACCAAGTATAATGAAAAACAATTGAAAATCAGTATTCAGTGTTTTGTATGAAGAATGGTTTATAATAAGATGTCACTATATAATAATTTGTGACATCAACTACTTGTACATTGTCACAACTTTTTTTTTCGTCAAAAAAAGTTGTGACAATATACAAGTAGTTGATTTCAAATCTTCTATCCCACCTTTTTTTTTTTTATCCCACAATTTGGGTACTACGTATCATATGTTTGCCAATTTTTATATTATGATGCATGCTCCACCCTGTTATTAAAATTTAAAATTACAATAATATGTGCTGATATAAAGAAAAAGTGACACGCAAGCGGTACACAAATTGTTTTAGATTTGGATTCATTTCAGTTTGTTGTTTGATATGCTCCCTGGTTTGTCTTTTGGGATTTTTATGCATATTCATAAGTCTGAGGAGTTTCACAAAATCTAACAATACCCACCATGGAGATTGGAGAGTCTTGCTTATTACTTATCATGTAGTTTGATTAGGGCAGTGCAACATTAGTTAACACTCTTAAGAGCACATCTTGTTCAGCTGAACATGCTATTTCCAGATTTTGTGTATTGGTTTGTTTGTTAGTTTTTCATAACAGTGTTACCGCGATAAACACTTTAAAATTATACAGAGTATAAAGATAAAACAAAGATGATAAATGACCATACATTTTGCTTCTGAATGGTTTGCATTGGGACAGTTTATACGGATTCATCCATCTTTGTTTTATCTTTATATACATCTGTTTCATATTGTTTACAACATTGTAATATTTATATCTCACAAATAATACTCCAAAGTTGCAAAAACAATGAAACGGAGGTAGTAATTCAAAAGTGTTATCAAATGTGGGGTGTTGACTTAGAAATAGAATACTGGGTATGAGTGTAAGACTAGGTAACTAACACTTCCATTATGTGTATCTGAAGTTTCTGTTTACACCCCTGCTTGTGATTTTTTCTTTCTTGGTCCTGAATTGTCTTCATTGGATTTTTTCGAGTTGATCGTTTCCACTTCTGTTGATCATCTTTCTTATACTATTGTCTTAGACTTCAAGTTGTCAAGCAGAAAAATACCTGTTCAAACTATAGCCTGCAAATATCAATCAATATTGTTCCTTCTAGTGCTAGACATGACTTGGTATCTGTCTTTTCCTATCACATCTTATCTGCTGGCTTCAATGTGTATTAGACTAGTAAATAAAGTAAAGCAGAAGAAAATTGCACGTGCTCTTATTGTTGTTGAAGATGTTGAAGCATTGTGGTCGAATAGAATTCTGATTGAAATTTGAAGGAATTATATATTTTGAATCCAGTATGTATTTGTGTAACCAAGGACACTTTTCAGTAACACTAAAAAAATACTGAAATATCACAAGAGTAATATCTTTGTTTTTGTTTTTCAAATTGAAACACAATTACAATATTTTGTACATCAAGAAATCAGTGCTTCAAACCATATTCCTTTACTCACATAATTTTCATATTATCTTTCAAAAACCACAATCATGTATACCAAAACACCACACATCAGACACCATATTTACATCCAAACAATTTTTAAAAAAAGGATAGAATATCAACTGCATAATGCAATCAATCGAGTGGATAATGGAACTAACTTTCAAGTAAACTCTCAATAATACTTGATGCTGGAAGTCTGAAGTTGACAGTAGTACTTGCTGTTGACGGATCCCTTGGGGATGCAATATGTGAATATGAAGATATTAGATTCACAACTGGCAGTACTGTAATTTTATGCTCTATGTGATTCTGTCTCACTTCATCGTCTAGACCAATTACAGACTTCTTTAATATGCAAGTATGATCAAAATCAAGACCACACTGTGTACAGCTATACTTAGAGCCATATGTCTTCCATTCCGAACAAGCAGAACAACGATAATCACTGCATGATCTCTGAAGCACAAGTGGATGGGGAGAGTGCAGTGGATGAAGCAAGTACAGTGGTAACTGGCTGCACTCAGGGTGCATGAAGAATTCACAATCTTTACATGTGTACACTAGATTATTTCTGTCACTCCCTTTTGTTCCACATAGTTCACAGTATTTAAAATGTGGCCTGAGCTTCAGTTCAAGCTCGTGTTGGGGGTGCAGGTGGGAAATTAGTCGGGTTGGTTGCTCAGCACAGACCTGGTGTAACGTGACATTACATGCTTCACAATAATACCTTAGGCCATCCCCAACATTCTTGCAGTGGTCACACCTGAAAAGCTTCTGTTTGTACTCAGAAGTCATCGAGTGTTGGGGATGGGCGAAAGTCTCAATGGTGTCATGATGGATCCCAAACCTTTCAATCTCTTCTGATGGCATTTTGTGCAAGAGCCACACGATGGGGCTTTGAGCACAAACCTTGTGCAGATCAAAGTTGCATTGGGCACAACGGTATCTCTTTCCTTTCCCATAACCTGTGCAAGAATTACAACGATATTGTTTATACTCAGACTCAGTATATGTGAGGGGATGTGGGTGGGTGAAGTGCTCGGTAATCTCTGTTTGAAGATTATCTTGAGATGTTTTTTTCTCCAATTCTCTTTCCCTCACTCTCTCCTCCTTGATTTCTCTGTCTTTTAGTTTCATTTGACTCCTACCCTCTCCTGTATTTCCACGCAACATTTTCCCCCCCTTCTGTCTTGCTCAGGATTGTAGAGCTCTTATGCACGAATATATATAGAGAGAGAGGTGCTTTGTCAAACATGATATCATAAAACAATTCAAGTAAAGAATGAGTTATTAATTTTATATTTGTATCTTTGCTATCCCTGAATGGTTTATGTTGAATAATTCTTGATTATCTTTGCGTCTTTTTATATTTGTATGATCAGTTCATCCTGCACGTTAGGACATGAGTACTTATGAATTAGTACATAAATAGCTGTTTGTGTTTAACAGAATGTAGAATTTTTTTTAGTATCATTGACATAACAACTTCATACTTCTCGTATAATATTTACCCCAACAGCTCTGCTATACAACCTTTTTCAATATAGGATGGATTCATGGATTAAGCAGCTCAAATGAACAACGCAAAAGCAGAAACAATAACAAAAATTAGCACTAAAATCAAAATTAAAGCTTCATAACAAATTAAAGCCATAACATTATAATTTAACATTGCAATCATCTTTATATCATTTATCATTATAAATCATACACAAATAAATGTCTCAATTTCTGTCCATCCCAAAATCCTCTAACAACAAAATTGAAAATATAAGATGCCCAATTCAAAGTTCATAAGTCAAATGAAGGGGTATTGAAATAGAAATAGAATACTTTTTATTTTTATTTTTTAACCAGAAGATATAGAATACTTCAAGTAGCCAAGCTGAAGAATACCTATTCAAACATCAACCTGCAAATATCAATTATTATCAATATAGTTGCTTTCAGTTCCTGGGTATGACTAGGTAAGTGACACTTCCCTTATGTGTATATGAAGCTTCAGTTAACACCTGCCTGTGCTTTTTTCTTTCTTGGTCCTGAATTGTCTTCATTTGAATTTTTCGAGTTGATCTTATCTACTTCCAGTGATTATTTTCTTATATTATTGGCTTAGACTTCCAAGTTGTCAAGAAGAAGAATACCTGTTCAAACTTCAGCCTACAAATATCAATCAATACTGTTTCTTCTAGTGCTAGACATGACTTGGTATCTGTCTCTCATATCAAATCTAAACTGCTGGCTTCAATGTGTATTAGATCGATTAGTAAATAAAGTCAACAAGAAGCCAATGCTGAAAATCACAAGTCAAATAACTTTGTTTTTGTTTGTATTGAAACACAATTGCAATATATTTTACATAATGAATTCAGTGCTTCAAACCATATTCCTGTACTCACATAATTTTCATACATTTTACAGAAACCACAATCCTGAATACCAAAGCACCACACATCAGACATCAAGTTTACATTCTAACATTTCTTTAAATGGGGATAGAATACCAACTGCATAATGAAGAGATCAATCGAATGGACAACGGATCTAAATTTCAGAAAAGCTCTGAATAATATTTGATGGGACTGTGAGGAAGTTGAAATCAATACTTGTGGTAGAAGAATCCTGTGGAGATGCAATCAGTGCATATGAAGATATTAAATTTGCAACTGGCAGTACTGTGATCTTATGCTCTGTGTGATTCTGTCTCACTTCATCATCCAGACCAATTATAGACTTCTTTATGATGCAAGTATGATCAAAATCAAGTCCACACCGTGTACAACTATACTTAGAGCCATATGTCTTCAACTCCGAACAAGCAGAGCAACGATAATCACTACATGATCTTTGAAGCAGCAGTGGATGGGGAGGGTGTAGCGGGTGAAGCAAGTATAGTGGCAACTGGCTGCACTCAGGGTGCATATAGAATTCACATTCTTTGCAGGTATACACTCGATTATTCCTGTGACTCCCTTTGGTTCCACATAGTTCACAGTATTTAAAATGTGGCCTGAGCTTCAGTTCAAGCTCGTGCTGGGGGTGCAGGTGGGAGGTTAGTCTGGTCGGTTTCTCAGCGCAGACCTGGTGCAACGTGACATTACATGCATCACAGTAATACCTTAGACCATCCCCGACATTCTTGCAGTGATCACACCTGAAAAGCTTCTGTTTGTACTCAGAAATCACTGAGTGCTGAGGATGGGCAAAAGTATCAATGATGTCATGAAGGATCCCAAACCTTTCTATCTCTTCAGGTGGCATTTTGTGTAAGAGCCAGATGATGGGGCTTTCGGCGCAAATCTTGTGCAGATCAAAGTTGCATAGGGCACAATTGAATCTCTTTCCTTTCCCCTTGCAGTTGCAAGAATTACATTGAAATTGCTTATAGTCTGACTCGGTATATATCAGGGGATGTGGGTGGGTAAAGTGCTCAGTGATCTCTGTTTTAAGATCATCTTGAGCTGTTATTCTCTCCAATTCTCTTTCCCTCTCTCTCTCCTCCTTGATTTCTATGTCTTTTAGTTTCATTTGACTCCTAGACTCTCCTCTTACCCCACACAACATTTTCCCCCTTCAGTTTTGCTCAGGATAGTTGAACTGTTATGCATAAATACAGTATATAGAGAGAGAGGTGCTTAGTCAAACATTATATCATAAAATAATTCAAGTGAAGAATGAGCTTTGAATTTTATATCTGTATCTTTGCTATCCCTGGATTCTGTATGTTGAATGGTTCTTGATGATCTTTTCACCCTTTCTAATTTATATATATGATCGGTTCATTCTGCACGTTATGACATATGAATTACATAGTGTGAATGTATCAGAATGTGGAGTTTATTTGGTACATTAGTGACATAATGACTTCACACTGCATGTATAATATTTACCCCAATGGCTCCGCTATCGGCTATACAAAGGTATGGTTCAGGACTTCAGGTATAATACTCTAATCCCATCCAACCTTTTTCTCTAACTCCAGAAGACTAAGGATCAGAAACACACAAACAGAAATTCATCTTAAGTTCTTAAAGTTGGAGACAAGCTAACATAGAGTAGAATTGTAGAAAAGAGCAAAGTGAGTTCACATCTCAGACAGGAATCACCAGGATTTTTCAATGATCACAACTCTATATACGTAGTAACTTGTTTCGTTGTAGCATATGAGACATGAAATGACCGGGGGGGAAAAATAATTCAAGGCATCAGGGTTCTAGTTCAGTACGTGGTTCTACTAAAGAAAGTATCCCATAAATGCTTCCCAATCAGCAAGTTGCCCCCAAAACTCCCTTATATGTAACCCTAAGTCCCTGAATATACAGTATATACTCCTGATGCTCATCTAAATGCAAATCTGATGTACACATATCATCCCTTGAATCTACAGGCATGAAAGAGTAAAGGTTCTAAGACTTCTAACATTGATAAATGCTCTAATAGTAACAATGAACAATACAGAATCAACAATTGCTGGGCTCCTAAGTGTTCCCACGATTACGTCTACAACACCCAACCAAAGAAGGCAGCATCTTCTTACTCTATTCTTAAAGCACTAGAGTCCTTTGCAAATGAAGCCCAAATTGGATAGTAGTGATACAGGTTCACTTAAAACAGTCTCGTCTTAAATCAGTTTATGCAAGAAAGTTAGTTGAATCCTAGAGTGTCATATATACAGCTACAAGGTTTCAGCAACACAAGCTCAAGGTTTAACTTCAGCAGGAAGCCCGTGCAGGGGCAGCAAACAAAGAGATTTCATCTTTGTTCAAGAGATCTAAATGTTATAAAAATATTCATGGACACTCCATAAAATTGGATATAATAAAAGAGTAGAGCCAACTCTTAGCGACTTCATCAAAATCAAAATTGATACTAGTACAACTCCAAAAGATCAATAACCTTGACATTCAAATCTCTTCCCTGCAGTGGCCAACATACAACCAGCCAACACATCTAACTAGAGTACTAGACCATAGAGAGATTAATATCATGTTCACCATAGTAAACCAAGGCATTATATTAGCAAAGATTAATAAACAGCCGCATATACAATGAACATGATGACAAAAACAAAACATACTTATTCACCAAACTCATCAAGCAGCAAGATATTCAACTTATATTGTTTGGTTTCGCTCAATGGCAATTAATGTTTTATATATTGTATTGGATTAATCAATCTATATAGGATGGATTAAGCACTCCCCATTACATTAGCTCAAATTAACAACACAAAAGCAAAAACAAAAAACAAAAATTAGCACTAAAATCAAAATTGAAGCTTGATAAGATTATAATTTAACATTGCAATCATCTTTATATCATTAATCATTATAAATCATACAAAACCCACTAACACAAATGTCTCAATTCCCAATTCCCATCCATCCCAAAAACCTCTAACAACAAAATTGAAAATTTGAAGATACCCAATTCAAAGTTCATCCTCCATCCTCAAATACTCACCAATATCACCCTGATGAATAACCACCATAGTTTGCGGGTCCGATTTACGAACATCCTTAGTCGATTTAGTAGCAATTCCAAAACCCAAAGGAACATCAGACATAGAATAAACAACAATACCATCACCAGCATTAATATCCTCAGTAATCCTCCCTAAATGAGCCTTCAACACAGCATTCCCATACAAAAACGACATCTCCGAGGTGGGTTTAAGCCATACCTTATGCTTCGCATTCGCAGCAAGAATAGGAAGCGCGTGAATTGTGAGATGGAAGTTTCCATGGTGGGTGAACTTCCCGACTTGAACACCCAACGAAACGAGCTGCTCCTTCGAAACGTTTGTGGCGCGTTTCACAAGCGATTCGCTTGCGTAGTAGACTCGATTCTTCTGGAGGCGGAAGCAGTAGCGACCTGGAAGTGGGTCTGAAGCTGGGCCTTCGTAGGCGGGGTTGTCGACGATGTTTTTCAGGTTGTTGCCCACGAATTTGAAGAGCTTTTCGAAGACTATGGTGGTTTCTTGCTCGTCTAGGGTTCTCATCTTCTTAGCTGTTCTTCAATGGTGGTTGAAAGGTGACGTTAATGGCGGCAATTAGGTTTTAGAGGATTTCTGAAGAAAAAGGAGAAGTTTCAAGCAGGGTTTAAGACCTTTTATATGGAGTACTTTGTAAAATTTGTGTGCTTAGGTCAAACGCAGCGTTTAATTGTACAAGCAATTTTTTATTTTTTTTTTTGAAAACATAATTGTACATTTGTACGAGTAATTGTAATATGACTAAACCCATACTTCCTCTGTTCTTTTTTACTTAACCTGTTTTTTTTTATCACGCTTGCCAATGCAAAACTTTAGCGATCAATAACTTTATTCTTCATAAGTAAAAATTATAAAAGTTGTATATTACAATAGTACTTATTGAGACGAATTAAAAAAGATATCATATGAATGTATTTTTCCTTACATATCATTCACAAAAGACGGTCAAAGGAGGGGTGGTAAATAGTGCAAAAGTCAAAGCGGGTCAAGTAAAAAAGAACGGAGGAAGTACTTATTAGTACAAAACCTCCAAAATTTCTCAAAAAACGTGGATATTAGCTTTTAATTTTTGGAATTTTTTTTTACTCTTTTTCACCCGGATATTAGCTTTTAATATCCTCTGGGAGTCCAATTGGTTGGGTAGAACCATCCAACTTGCCTTTAAACGACCAATTTACCGATTTACAACTTCCACCGATTTCATTAATTCAAGCTTACCATGAACATTTATGACAACATACAATGATCATATATGGGTCCAAACAGCATTATATGACCTCGAGATGTATCCCCTAAAATAGCGTGGATATTAGCCTTCAATTTTGGCATTTTTTGACTTTTTCGCCCAGATATAAAAATTGCCGAAATGTTTACCATGGTCCCTAATACTTGCCGGGAGTCCAATTGGGTGGGTGGAACCATCCAATTTGGCTTAGCTTTAAACTACCAATTTAACATTTTACAACTTGCACCAATTTCATTAACTCAAGCTCACCACGAACATTTACAACAACAAATAATGATCATATATGGTTCCAAACGGCATTATATGACCCGGAAATATATCCCCTTGAATTTCAAGACTTTTCGACACCCGACCCGAAACCTCCAAAATTTCTAAAAAACATGAATACAAGCCTTCAATTTTTAAATTTTTTGACTTTTTTTCACACGAAAATAAAAATTTCCGAAATATTTACCATGGTTCCTAATACCCCCCGGGATTCCAATTGGGTGGGGGGAACCATCCAATTTGCCTTTAAACGACCAATTTACCAGTTTTCAACTTGCACCGATTTCATTAATTCAAGCCTATTACGAACATTTATGACAACATATGATGATCATATATGGTTCCAAACGACATTATATGACCCCGAGATGTATTCCCTGGAATTTCAAGATTGTTAGACACCGGGCCCCAAATACTCCAAATTTCTCAAAAAGAGTGGATATTCGCCTTTAATTTTTGAATTTTATGACTTTATTCGTCCGGAAATAAAAATTGCCGAAATATTTACCATGGTCCATAATACCCTCCCGGAATCCAATTGGATAGGTGGAACCATCCAATTTCCCTTTAAACAACCAATTTACCGATTTACAACTTGCACCGATTTCATTAATTCAAGCCTACCACCACGAACATTTATGACAACATATAATGATCATATATGGTTCCAAACGGCATTAAATGACCCAAGATATATTCCCTAAAATCTTAAGGCTATTCGACAATGAGCCCCGAAACCTCCAAAAATTCTCAAAAAGTGTGGATATCAGCCTTCAATTATGGAAATTTTTTACTTTTTTTCACCCGAAAATAAAAATTGACGAAATATTTACCATGGTCCCTAATACCATTCAGGAGTCCCATTGGGCGGGTGGAACCATCCAATTAGCCTTTAAACGACAATTTTACCGATTTACATCCTCCATCGATTTCATTAAACTCAAGTCTACCACGAACATTTATGACAACATATAATAATCATATATGGTTCCAAACAACATTATATGACACAAAGATTTATTCCCTGGAATTTCAAGACTTTTTGACACCGAGTCCCGAAACCTTCAAAATTTCGCAAAATGCGTGGATATTAGTCTTCAATTTTGGAATTTTTTTGACTTTTTTTGCTCGAAAATAAAAATTGCCAAAATGTTTACTATGATCCCTAATACTCTCTGGGAGTCCAATTGGCTGGCGGAACCATCCAATTTGCCTTCAAATGACCAATTTACCGATTTACAACTTGCACCGATTTCATTAACTCAAGCCTACCACGAACATTTATGACAACATATAATGATCATATATGGTTCCAAACGGCATTATATAACCCCGAGATGTATCTCCTAAAATCTCAAGGATTTTCGATATCAGGCCTTGAAATCTCCAACATTTCTCAAAAAGCGTGGATAATTAGCCTTAAATTTTTGAATTTTTTGACTTTTTTTCGCCTGTAAATAAAAATTGTCGAAATGTTTAACATAGTCCCTGATACAATCCGAGAGTCCAATTAGGTGGGTGGAACTATCCAATTTGCCTTTAAATTGAGAATTTACCGGTTAAGAACTTGAACTAATTTCATTAACTCAAGCCTACCACGAACATTTATGACAACATATAATGATCATTTATGGTTTAAAACGGTATTATATGACCCCGAGATGTAATCCTAAAATTTCAAGGCTTTTTGACACCGGGCCTCGAAATCTACAAAATTTTTCAACAAGCATGGATCTTAGACTTTAATTTTGGAATTTTTTGACTTTTTTTCGCCCGAAAATAAAATTTGCCAAAATGTTTACCATGGTCCCTAATATCCTTCGGGAGGCCAAATGGATGGGTGGAATCATCCAATTTGCCTTTAAACGACCAATTTACCAGTTTACAACTTGTACCGATTTCATTAACTCAAGCCTACCACGAACATTTATGACAATATATGATGATCATATACGATTCCAAACAGCTGATATGACCCAGAGATGTATCCCCTAATTCTTAAGTCTTTTCAACACCGGGCCCCGAAACCTCCAAAATTACTCAAAAAACGTGGATATTAGCCTTCAATTTTGGAATTTTTGACTTATATTCGCCTGAAAATAAAAAGTTTTCGAAATGTTTACCATGGTCCCTAATACCCTCTAGGCGTCCAATTGGGTGGGTGGAACTATCCAATTTTCCTTTAAATGGTCAATTTATTGATTTACAACTTGCACTGATTTCATTAACTCAAGCCTACCACGAACATTTATGACACACACATAATGATCATATATGGTTCCAAATGGCATTATATGACCCCAAGATGTATTCCCTAGAATTTTAATACTTTTTGACATTTAGTAAAATGCGTGGATAGACTTCAATTTTGGAATTTTTTGACTTTTATTCGCCCAGAAATAAAAATTTCCGTAATGTTTACAATGGTCCCTAATACCCTTCGGGAGTACACCTGGGTGGAACCATCCAATTTGTCTTTAAACAACCGATTTACCGGTTTACAACTTGCACCGATTTCAATAACTCAAGCCTACCACGTATAGTTATGACAACAAATAATGAACATATATGGTTCCAAAAAGCATTATATGACCTCGAAATGAATTACCTAAAATTTCAAGACTTTTCGTCACCGGATTTTGAAACCTCCAAAATTTCTCAAAAAGCGTGAATATAAGACTTCAATTTTGGATTTTTTTAACTTTTTTCTCTTGGAAATAAAAATTGCCGAAATATTTACCATGGTCACTAATACGCTCCGTGAGTCCAATTGGGTGGGTGGAACCGTCCAATTTGCCTTTAAACGACCAATTTACCGATATACAACTTGCACCGATTTCATTAACTCAAGCGTACTACGAACATTTATGTAAACGTATAATGATCATATATGGTTCCGAACGGCATTACATGACCCCGAGATGTATTCCCTAAAATCTCAAGGTTTTTCGACACCGTACCCAACCTCAAAATTTTCTCAAAAAACGTGGATATAAGCCTTTAATTTTGGAATTTTTTGACTTTATTTCGCCCGAAAATAAAAATTGCTGAAATTTTTACCATGGTCGCTAATACCCTCCGGTAGTCCAATTGGGTGGGTAGAATTATCCAATTTGCCTTTAAACGACCTATTTATCGGTTTATAACTTGCACCGATTTCATTAACTCAAGCCTACCACGAACATTTATGACAACAAATAATGATCATATATGGTTCCAAACGGCATTAAATGGCCCAAGATGTATTCTCTAGAATTTCAAGACTTTTCGACACCGAGCCCCGAATCCTCCAAAATTTCTCAAAAAGCGAGGATATTAGCCTTCAATTTTGAAATTTTTGACTTTTTTTTCGCCCGGAAATAAAAATTAGCGAAATGTTTACAATGACCCCTAATACCGTCCAGGAGTCCCATTGGGTAGGTGGAACCATCCAATTTACCTTTAAACGACCAACTTACCGGTTTACAACTTGCACCGATTTCATTAACTCAATCTTACCACGAACATATATGACAACAAATGATGATCATATATGGTTACAAACATCATTATATGACCTCGAGATATATCCCCTAAATTTCAAGACTTTTCGACATCGGGCCCCGAAACCTCCAAAATTTCTCAAAAACCGTGGATATTAGTCTTTAATTTTGGATTTTTTTGACTTTTTTTTCTTTCGGAAATAAAAATTGCCGAAATATTTTTTATGATCCCTAATACCCTCCGGGATTCCAATTGGGTTGGTGGAACCATCCAATTTGCCTTTAAACGACCAATTTAATCACCGGTTTACAACTTACACGGATTTCATTAAATCAAGCCTACTACGAACATTTATGACAACATATAATGATCATATATGGTTCCAAACGGCATTATATGACCCCGAGATGTATCCCCTAAAATATTAATACTTTTCTACACCGTGCCCTGAAACCTCCAAAATTTCTCAAAAAGCGTGGATATTAGCCTTCAATTTTGAAATTTTTTGATTTTTTTTTCGCCCGGAAATAAAAATTTCCGAAATGTTTACCATGATCCCTAATACCCTCCCGGAATCCAATTGGGTGGGTGGAACCTTTTAATTTGCCTTTAAACGACCAAATTACCGGTGTACAACTTGCATCGATTTCATTAATTTAAGCCTACCACGAACATTTATGACAACAAATAATGATCATATATGGTTCCAAATGACATTATATGACCCCGAGATGTATC